TATTTGACCTGCAGCTCCATGACCCCACCGAAGTCTTCTAGAGCACAAGTAGGTTCTCTTGATTTGGTTGTTTAGATAATTTTGGATATGACCTAGATATCAAATCATTTTAGTTTTTCTTGTTTTTCATTTGCAGGTGCAGAGTTAGGTTGTTAATAGGATTGTCAACTTTGGCTGATAAGTAACTTCAGATTTTGCAAACAGCATGGTGCTATTTTGAGTTAGCAGAGAGGGTGCTTACATTCACACGTCTAGTAAGTGGAGGAGTTGGAATTTGAACCCAAGCTTTTCTGAATAGCTCCAAAGCCATGCTTTCTCCCTCTGTACCAGTGCTTCTCCCCATTTAATGTGCACAGGAATCCCCCAGGGGCATGTTAAAATGCAGATTCTGACTCTGGGCTTGGGGTGGTGCCAGCACCCCTGCAGGCCCCAGTGGTGTGTGCTGCTGGTCTTCACTTCACACTTTGAACACTGAAGCTCCTTGCTATATTCCTGGTTTACTAATTGTGCCGTAGATAATCCGTCTGAAGGTTAACGCACAAAACTGATAATCTTCAAGCCAATATTAAAGAACTGACATTTTCAAGTGGTTTTTCTTCATTTTAAGCTGTGTGTATTCACTGCTGCGGGTGATGGCGAGCTTTGTTTGGCTGAATTGGCAGAATTAGTTCTGTACTGAGTGAATGCTAGGTGTGTTAGGAAGGTAAAGTGAATGATCGGGGGGAGTTTGTTGAGGGAGTTTGTGAACAGCTGCTATATGCCATCATTTCCAAGGCAGACCTTATTTTACATTTTGTCATCTCTGAAACTGAGGATGCGTCTTACAATGGATGGCCTCTTACCATCGCCGAGCTTGCCATTCAAGTCCAGCCCCTTCTTGCCACCCTCCCGCCCTGTGGCAAGCGGAGCCGACAGCTGCTAAGGTGAGCACTTGGCATCTCCTCTCGTTGCCGCTCTCTCCTGTCTGACCTAGGCCTCACTCCGTCCTTCGTTTTGTCATTGCGGAGTCTGAGCTTAAGACACCCTGGGCTGTACACTTGGGGATTTTTATGCTGGTCAGACATGCTGCAGGGCAAGGTGGATCTCTCAATCTGTTGCTTGGCTTGGACATCTGTTAACTGTGGTGGTGAATCTGTTACAGATCCTTCTTTGTCTTGAGTTGGGCAGGAACTCCTCTGGGGCTGAAGTGGAGTCTTAAAAAAAGCTCTGACCGAGAGTGTTGGCTGTCACCTGTAATCCCATCACTTATTTGGAAGGCTGAGGGAGGGGGAATGCTTGAGACCAGGAGTTTGAGGCCAGTCTAGGCTACATAGCGAGACCGTGTCTCTACAAGTGTTTTTTTTTTTTTTTTTTTTTTTTTTTTTTAAATTACCCAAGTATGGTGGTGCATGCCTGTAGGTCCAGCTACTTGGGGGGCTGAGGCAAGAGGATCAATCACTTGAGCTAAGGAGCTCTAGGCTGCAGTGAGCTATGACAGCACCATTGCACTACAGCCTAGGTGACGACTCAAGACTCCATCTCTTAAAAAAATTTTTTTTAAAGTTCTGCAATAAAGTGAACATGGGATCATCAATTTCACATGCCTTCTTAATTAGCAACATTGTTTTTCCTTGATGGTGCACAGTTTAATAATGCATTTTCAGGCCAGGTGTGGTGACTCATGACTGTAATCCCAGCACTTTGAGAGGCTGAGGCAGGCAGATGCCATGAGGTCAGGAGTTCAAGACCAGCCTAGGCAATATGGTGAAACCCTGTCTCTACAAAAATACAAAAATTATCCGGGCATGGTGGTATCTGCTTGTAGTTCCAGCTACTTGGGAAGCTGAGGCAGGAGGATCACTTGAGTCTGGCAGATGGAAGTTGTAGTGAACTGAGATTGCACCATGGCACTCCAGCCTGGGCCACAGTGAGACTCTATCTCAAAAAAAAACAAAACAAAACTGGGTGTGGTGGCTTATGCCTGTAATCCCAGGACTTTGGGAGGCCGAGGCAGGCGGATCATGAAGTCAGGAGTTCAAGACCAGCCTGGCCAAGATGGTGAAACCCCATCTCTACTAAAAATACAAAAAAATAGCCGGGCATGGTGGCAGGCATCTATAATCCCAGCTGCTCGGGAGGCTGAGGCAGGAGAATCACTTGAACTCGGAGGGTGGAGGTTGCAGTGAGCCAAGATTGTGCCACTGCACTGCAGCCTGGGTGACAAGAGTGAGACTCTGTCTCAAAAAAAAAAAAAAAAAAAAAAAAGCGTTTTCTATGGTGGCTTTGGTTTGAAGAAGTTTATAAAGTTAACAGAAGTTTAGCAGAAGTAGTACTGGGTTTGGAATCAGAAAGTATGAGTTAGGACCAGGTGTGGTGGCTCATGCCTGTAATCCTTGCACTGTGGGAGGCTGAGATGGGAGGATCACTTGAGCTCAGGAGTTCTAGACCAGCCTGGGCAACATAGTGATGAGACTTCAAGAACTTTTTTTTTTTTTTTTTTTTAAACGTATGAATTAGAGTTTTGGCTCTTGCAACTTGCCAGTTGTATGACATCACTCTGGGCCTCAGTTTCTGCATGTATGAAGTGAGAGACACTATAGTCTCCAAAGCCCTTCTAGCTCTGAATGAATTGGATTTTAAGTGTGCTAGAATGAATGAATTGAAGTATGAGGGCTCTGCATTAAGAACACAGAATAAAGGATTGTCCTGGTAAGGAGGGTGTGGCAAGAGGCGTCTTAACTGGACCTCCAGCGGGAGGATGGAAGAGAAGGTATTTGAAGCTGAAGAGACATGCTAGTAGGTCACAGAGCTCCTTGGAAACCATTCATAAATTTAAGTCCTCAGATGCAATTAATTCATCATGCCAGGTAGAGGTTGTCCTCAGTACAAGTAAAACAGTCTGTTGGAAGTAAGATGATTTTTTGTGGCATTCTAAAAAGATCATTCTTCATGAGATGCTCTTTGTTTTTGGGGTTTGAGAACAAAATAATGGTTCCCCTTTGGTTGGACTAATTAGACAAAGATACTCTAAGAATAAAATGAGCCATCCAGGTACTGACTGTGGTCATGATTTATATGAGTATTAGGTGGCAAGGTGAATAACACAGCTACCCACCCACATTGTAGGTAAACTAAACTGAGATATGGTAAAATAAAAATTGTTTTGTTATATAGTTGTACTGTTTGAAGCACCAATTTTTTTTTTATGAAGAAAATACTGCTTTGCATGTATGTAGAACCACTTAGATGTTTTTTGAATTGGGATTTGCTGAAGATGCAGAAGCTGTTGTACTGAGTACATGACACCTTGAAAAGAAAGAAAAAGTTTGTGTACGAGTAGTCAGCACTGTAGGTAGGAATTGCAAAGGTGAAGTAATTAATCTCGACCACATGGGCTGTGCTCTTTTTTTGGGTTTATATCCCAAAAAGGCATTAGAATTGGGAGTCAGAAGTGACAGACTCACGAGGTTTCTGAGTTAGGTTTTAAAATTACTGACCAGGCTGGGAACTCCGTAGCTATTGGAATCTCAGATCCACTCTGCCACCTTGTGTTCTCTGGGGAGAGTCGTTTTTTTTTTTTTTGTTTTTTTTTTTTTTTTCTCCGTGAAGCTATTGAATCTCAGATCCACTCTGCCACCTTGTGTTCTCTCAGAGAGTCGTTTTTTTTTTTTTTTGTTTTTTTTTTTTTAATTCTATTTATTATTATTAAACTTCTGTTGTAGGTACATGTGCGCACGGCAGGTTTGCTGTAAGCGCCACAGTAAAGTGGTAACACTAATGGCCAGCAGAGACAGGCAATGTCACACAGTTTAATACAGCGCAATGCATATGAGATTTAATGGCTTTTTGTTTTTTTTTTTTTTTAATTTATTTATTATTATTAAACTTCAAGTTGTAGGGTACATGTGCGCAACGTGCAGGTTTGCTACATATGTATACTTGTGCCATGTTGGTGTGCTGCACCCATCAACTCGTCATTTACATCAGGTATAACTCCCAATGCAATCCCTCCCCCCTCCCCCCTCCCCATGACAGGCCCCGGTGTGTGATGTTCCCCTTCCCGAGTCCAAGTGATCTCATTGTTCAGTTCCCACCTATGAGTGAGAACATGCGGTGTTTCATTTTCTGTTCTTGTGATAGTTTGCTAAGAATGATGGTTTCCAGCTGCATCCATGTCCCTACAAAGGACACAAACTCATCCTTTTTTATGGCTGCATAGTATTCCATGGTGTATATGTGCCACATTTTCTTAATCCAATCTGTCACTGATGGACATTTGGGTTGATTCCAAGTCTTTGCTATTGTGAATAGTGCTGCAATAAACATACGTGTGCATGTGTCCTTATAGCAGCATAATTTATAATCCTTTGGGTATATACCCAGTAATGGGATGGCTGGGTCATATGGTACATCTAGTTCTAGATCCTTGAGGAATCGCCATACTGTTTTCCATAATGGTTGAACTAGTTTACAATCCCACCAACAGTGTAAAAGTGTTCCTATTTCTCCACATCCTCTCCAGCACCTGTTGTTTCCTGACTTTTGAATGATCGCCATTCTAACTGGTGTGAGATGGTATCTCATTGTGGTTTTGATTTGCATTTCTCTGATGGCCAGTGATGATGAGCATTTTTTCATGTGTCTGTTGGCTGTATGAATGTCTTCTTTTGAGAAATGTCTGTTCATTATACTTACCTGGCAGGGGAGATACCATGATCACGAGAGTCGTTTTTAATTTCCCTACATCATGTTTATTGCATGTGTAAAATAATCCTCAGCTTTTGCTTGATTCACAAGAAAATTTGCTAACGAATGAAGCTAAAAAGGTAAATCCATATACATTTGTTGAAGTATAAGGCAGCTTTTATTCCTGAAAGGCATATGTTAGATTTTACAAGTGCGGAGATCAGTCAAAATTATTCAGTAAATCCAGCCATGATCTCCTTGGACCTAAATACACATTTTGTTTGACCTTCCATAACACAGCCGTGATTTTTAATGTTTTTCCTTCCTCATCACAGGTGGTCCGTACTGAGAAGAACAGTTTGAACAACCGATTCTTACCCTGGAATGAAATTGAGACAGAGGCCATCCTGTCCATCGATGACGACGCTCACCTCCGCCATGACGAAATCATGTTTGGGTTCCGGTGAGAGACTAATTTCCAGTCAAACACTTTAGGTTGCAAGTGACAGAAAACCTGGATTAGGCAGCAAAATGAATTTCTTGGCTGATGGTAACTGAGAAACCCTTACAGGTAGTCAGGGCTGATGTGGGACGTGGCTGGATGCAGGCTTGTAGATGGCGTTGGAGGAGTCTGTCTCTCTTTACCTCTAGGCTCTGCTCTGCGTTCCTACAGGCCTTCCCTCTGTGGCCAGGGAGGTGGAATTCTTTGATTGGCTAGACCGTGGTTATCTGCCTGCTCCTGGTGCTGCAGGTGTATCATCCTTAAATCCAAACCACGTGGGCAGAGAGTAGAGGCAATGGGTAGGGTAGTTCTCTAAAGGAAATAGGAGGGTTTCGTTTTTAGAGGAATGGGAAGTAACTTCCAGGCAGGCAGAAGTGACATGTTACTGTGTGTTGGAGCAATGGAACAGTGCCAGGATCCTGGACCCAAAAAGATTTGGGGGAAAGAGGGTGTCAGAAGCAATGATTTGAAAGGGAAAAGAAGGGAAGGAGGAAAAGGAGGTGGTGGTAATGATGGCAGCGATGATGCTGCTAAACATATGTTGAACCCGTACTGTGTGCCAGGGACTAGCCTAGGACTTTTTCTGTCTTATCTCATTAATCCTTCTAAAATTTGATGACATAAATTGTAGCTATCTCCATTTTATATAGGAGTAAATTGAGATACAAGAGAACAAAACCATGTAGAAGCTAGGAAGTGGCAGCAGAGCTCTGGGTTCAAATGCAGGTTTGTCACACTCCCGACGTTCGCCCAGCCTTCAGCTCTCGTGCCTTCTTGAGTCTTAGGAATTGCTGAAGGATCCCACTTGAGGGTCACTGCGGGGAAGAGGATGGAGTAGATGAAGGTTACTCCAAGTGTGTCAGGGACTGGGATGTTGGCTTAGGGACAGTTGGTTACCTGTTTATGGTGAGGTAAGTACAAAAATTGAGGGCAAGCATTCAGAAACTTTTAAAGCAATGTGACATTTACTGTGAAATCCAAGTATATGATTATTTTTCTTGTAGTTCTTTTTTTTTGCAACATTTCTTCAATATAATTCATACACCATAAAATTCACTCATATAAGTGTATGATTCAGTGGTTTTAGTATATTCAGAGTTGCACAAACATCACCATGGTTAATTTTAGAAATCTTCATCACCACTGAAGGAAACCCTGTACCTAGTACCTATTAACAGCCACTCCCAATTTTTCTCCAACCCCTCTCAGTCCTAGGTAGCCACTCAATCTTTGTGTCTCTATAAATTTGCCTATTTTGGACATTTTCTATAAATAGAACCGTACAACCACGCATGGCCTTTTGTGACTTTCTTCTTTCACTGCACATGATGTTTTCAGGGTTCATCCATCTTGTAGCAGGTACCAGTTCTTTTTTTTTTTTTTTTGAGATGGAGTCTCACTCTGTTGCCCAGGCTGGAGTGTAGTGGCTTGATCTCAGCTCATTGCAGTCTCTGCCTCCTAGGTTCAAGTGATTCTCTCATGTCAGCCTCCTGAGTAGCTGGGATTACAGGTATGGACCACCACACCCAGCTAATTTTATTTTTTGCATTTTAGTAGAGACGGGATTTCACCATGTTGCCCAGGCTGGTCTTGGACTCCTGAGTTCAGGCGACCTGCCCGCCTCGGCCTCCCAAAGTGCTGGGATTACAGGCTTGAGCCATGGTGCCCAGCCCAGGTACCAGTTCATCATTCATTTTCTGTTGATGGCTGTTTGGGTCATTTCTATTTCTTGGCTATTGTGAATAATGCTGTGAACCTTCATGTGCAGGTTTTTGTATGAACATGTCATTCCTCTTGAGTGTATACCTAAGAGTAATGTGGATAGCTGCTTTAACATTTTGAGCCTGTCAGATTGTTTTTCTGGGTGGCAGCCCCATACTGCATTCTCACCAGCAGTGTATGAAGCTTCTAGTTTCTCCACATCCTCGTCAACGCTTGTTATTTTCTATTTTCAAAATTTATAGCTGTCCTAGTCATTGTAAAGTGACAACTCGTGTGTGTGGTTTTTTTTTTTTTTTTTGAGATGGGGGTCTCACACTGTTACTGAGGCTGGAGTACAGTGGTGCAATCTTAGCATGTGGTAACCTTGAACTCCTGGGCTCAAGTGATCCTCTTGAGTAGCTGGGACTACAGGCTCACATCACCACACCTGGCTAATCTTTACATTTTTTTTTTTGGTAGAGATGGGGTCTTACTTTGTTATTCAAACTGGTCTGAAACTCCTGGCCTCGAGCAGGCCTCCCAAGTGCTGGGATTACAGGCATGAGCCACAGTACCCAGGCATACAGTTGTGATTTGCATTTCTCTCGATGTTGAACATCTTTTCATGTGCTTATTGATCAGTTAGTTAGCCTTTGTATACCTTCTTTGGAGAAATGGCTTTTCACATTCTTTGTCCATTTTTGTTTGGATTGTCCTTTTTTTTTTGAGACAGAGTCTCGCTCTGTCACCCAGGCTGGAGTGCAGTGGTGTGATCGTGGCTCACTGCAAGCTCCGCCTCCCGGGTTCATGCCATTCTCCTGCCTCAGCCTTCCAAGTGGCTGGGACTACAGGCGCCCGCCACCATGCCCAGCTAATTTTTGTATTTTTAGTAGAGACGGGGTTTCACCGTGTTGACCAGGCTGATCTCGAACTCCTGACCTCAGGTGATCCACCTGCCTCAGCCTCCCAAAGTGCTGGGATCACAGGCATGAGCCACCGCACCAGGCCAGGATTGTCTTTTTATTATCATGTTATAAGAGTTCTTTATATATTCTAGATGCAAGTCCCTTATCAGAGATCAGAGTTGCACATATTTTCTCCCATTCCATGGGTTATTTTCTTACTTACCTGACGGTATTATTTGAAGCACAGAGTTCATGTTTTGAAATTCAGTGGATCTGTTTTCTTTGGTTGCTTGTGCTTTGGGTGTCATATTTAGAAACCAGGCAGTTCATTTTTGTTTTATTTTACCAAAGTATTAATCTATAATAATTTTGGGGAAAAATTAGTTCTTCCCCACATCATTTGAAAACCACTGGAGGCCAGGTATAGTGGCTCACGCCAGTAATCTCAGCACTTTGGGAGACCAAGGTGGGTGGATCACCTGAGGTCAGGAGTTCGAGACCAGCCTGGCCAACATGGCGAAACCCTGTCTTTACTAAAAATATAAAAATTAGCAGGGCGTGTTGGCGCATGCCTGTAATCCCAGCTACTCAGGAGGCTGAGACGGGAATTACTTGAACCTAGGAGGCGGAGGTTGCAGTGAGCCAAGATCACGCCACTTCTAGCCTGGGCAACGGAGCATTAAAAAAAAAAAAAAAAAAAAGCCACTGGAGTAGATTTCTTTGGAGGTCTTGTTCAAATTAAGTGTGGATCCAGAATAGAGAGTTCTTTCTCTGTGCTTCCATTCTGTTCACCGAAGGCCTAACCTGACCTACCTGGCAATGGGGCTGCCTTTGGCTTAGGCTTGTAAGAGCAGATGCTCAGATGAAAAGAGCAGTGGCTTTATTGCTCATCTGTCTTAAATCCATCTGTAAAGAATGATTTGACACATTTCTCAAAAATTAGAACATCTGTTCTTATTCTCCTCCACCCAGCCTCTCACATTTCCTTTGACCTCTTACCTAAAGTACTGTTGAAGTAAGTCTATTGATAGCTGTGATTTAAAAAAATCCTTGTAAGCCCAGTTGTATTTTTTTTTACACGATAACAAATAACTGACTCTCTCCATTTGTTTTTATGAAAGGCAAAAAGCCATGCAGTAGCTCCAGGCGTGATCTTTGCTGCTGCAGGTGGTAGTGGTAGGGGGTGGGCGGCAGGGAGTGTGTTTCTGCTGCAGCATGATGTGGTTTGGAGCATGCTGAAGGGCTGGTGTGGTGAGCATAGTTGTGGGGTGTTAACAGGAGAACTGCCAACCCTTAGATCCAAGAATGATTTTGATAAGGAGCCCAGCTTTAAGGAGTTTGAAGCTTATTAACATAGCTGGCATTAACATAGCTTCCAAGCCCCTGATTTAGGGATTTCTGACCTTGCCCATGCTATTTTCCAGCAGATTTGCAGGTGGTGAGAGAGTAATGGGAAGCCTTTTAATGTGTCTCTTAACCGTCATTCACGTTTGAGATTTAGCCTCTGGTAATGGAGCTGGTGAATTATTGCTGTCTGTACATCCTAACCTTTTCCTACCCTGACCCTTTTCTCATGCGTTTGGGCATCCTTCAATCTAAAGCCTTTCTCTTATTAATCTCCCCAATTTGCTTATTTCACCTTAATGGGAATGAAACAGACCTAAGTTGAAAGAAAAGGGTAAGTCTAAGAATTCTTTCCTCTGGCAAAGATAGATCTTGACTCACTTCAACTTATGTAGCCAAGAAAGAGACAGACAGAATCAATTGTAAGGGACAGATAGAAATGGTATACCAAGAGACTTGAGAGCATGTGTCCTTACAGAAAGGAATACACGAATGGCCAGAGCAGCACTATTTGTAACAGAAGTGCGAACAACACAGAGGGCTAAATACTGTGGTTCCATTATGTGAGGTCCCTAGGTAGTCATTCATAGAGACCGAGAGCAGAATCGAGGCTGCGGGAAGGTGGGAGTGGGGATGAGTGTTTCATGGGGACAGAGTTTCCGTTTGGGCAGATGAAAGAGTTCTGGAGATGGATGGCCGGGATGGTTGCACAACACTGTGAATGTCTGTAATGCCACTGAACCATATATTTAAAAGTGATTAAGATGGTACATTTTATGTTCATTTTGCCACAATTAAAAAAAAAACCAGTTGTCTTAAAAAACCCACCTAGAAGGCTATTACATTGTGATAGAAATTGTGATTTCTAATCTTTTGGATTAGAATAGAGTCTTCCAGACTTATTAGGAGAGGAGCTCTTTTGAAATAAAATCTGTGTCTTAGGAACTGAAGTTCCATGTAAGTGATGAGGGAGTTTGCAGGCAGTTTAAATCTCTGGCAGCCCTTCTGCAGGCCTGTTGGGTTCTGTGGAGCTTAAAACGCTTTCAGTTCTCCAATTTATCCTGTGAAACTGGGGATCAATTTTATTTGTTCTACTTTGCCTATACATTTGGAGATGATATAAAAGTTTCTACTGAAACATATTGAATTCTCCATTTATTTCTGCCATTTAATGAAACCTTTCAGTTGTATGGTTCTGTAGACCACTTCTCATGATACACGTTTCTCCCTCAGCCCTGCTCAAATTTGGAATTCCTTAGGAGTGGTGCAGTTCAGTAGTCTTCTGTGGTTAAACCAGTGGTCTCTTAAACCTTTTTATTATGTTCCTTCTTCATAAAAGAAAAGTGTGCAGTATATGTAAATTATATACACGTCCTGCTGAACTAATATGTCGTGCTCATTAAAAACAAAGCCTTTCTTAGAAAATGTTGGTTCATTCATTTTTAGAGCCAGGTCTTGCTCTGTTGCTCAGGCCGAGTGCAGTGGTGCAATCATAGCTCACTGCAGCCTTGAACTCCTGGACTCAGGCAGTCCTTCCACCTCAGCCTCCCAAGTAGCTGGTAGTACAGTTGTACTCCACCATGCCCAGCTAATTAGAAACAATTTTTTTTTTGTAGAGACAGGATCTTGCTATGTTGCCCAGGCAGGTCTCCAACTCCATGCTTCAAGTGGTCCTCCTGTGTTGGCCTCCCAAATGCTGAAGTTACAGGCATGAGCCACCCTGCCCGGCCCTTTCTTGGAAATTAAATAAGCTAAAAAAAGAATTGAAATTGATATCATCTTCCTGCTTCTTAGTAGATTATTGTACATACCCCATTCTGGAGACCTCCTTAGTAGATTATTGTACATACCCCATGCTGGAGACCCCTTTCCCAAGTTATGACTTACTCTTTCTGGAAGGGCTGGAGGATACTGACTGCTAGAGGAACAATGTGCAGGTGCTTATTAAGGAAGCTGAATATGGTACCTTATTTGCTTTTATCCTGTTTGGCTTGTTGTTGATTTTGTTTTATTTTGAAAGGATAAGAGAAGTGAAAGCCTAAGGGCCAGAGCTTGGAAGGTAGAGGCAATAACCGTGAACACTTTTGATGGCCCTAGAGCTCTGTACTCAGGTCTGTGTATGCACTTGTGTTTTTCAAGGGTGTGGAGAGAAGCTCGGGACCGCATCGTGGGCTTCCCTGGCCGTTACCACGCATGGGACATCCCCCATCAGTCCTGGCTCTACAACTCCAACTACTCGTGTGAGCTGTCCATGGTGCTGACAGGTGCTGCCTTCTTTCACAAGGTAGGAAAAAGCTAGTAATAATGGCATTGACTTGGTGAGAGTTTGGCCTTTGTGTGATAGTGGAATGCTGCCCTCAGCTTAGCTCTCCTAATGCTTCTTACGTGTTTCTTCTGTGCTAGAAGTCAGTTGTTTCCATTTTTAGAGACAATGATCAAGATGCTTAGAGCAACTCTGGGATAAAAAGTTAAGATGAGAGGGCTGCCTGTACAGTTGCACATAGGCTATTTGGAAACCACTTTATCTTTCTGGGCGTTGGCTCTCCCTTTGTAAAACTGAGGGCTCTGGGATAAAAGACACCTCAAATACCTTCTGGTTTCAACATTGCCACCCCAGATGTGGCCCGGCTATCAGAAGGTGACCTGGGCACTTTTCTGACTTAGATGTACCGTGCCTGTCCCAGGCCCCGCGATGAGCCTCTGTGTGGCTCTGCCAGTTCTTTGTGATACTTTAGTGCTTATTCTTTCACTGTGTCTCATAATTTGATTTTCACTGAATATCTGAAGCTTAGGACCCTGCAGTCTTTCCTCCTCTACTGTTCTGTGTTCTGTTTTTTTGCTCTTGGCCTGTCTTCCCTCTCTACCTCTTCCATTCTGTAAAGTGGCCCCTGACCATGTGTGGCCACAGAGCACCTGGCACATGACTGGTCAGAATGGAGACGTGCTGTTAAGTGTAAAGTGCACAACAGCTTTCGAAAACTTGTAACAAAGGATGTCACATAGCTCAGTAATTGTTTATATAGATACGCATCTTGAAATGCAGTTAGTTTGGATTACTGGGTTAAATAAAATTATTGAATTTTACTGTCTCTTTTTACTTTTTAATGATGTGGCTTCTAGAAAATTTACAGTGCTGTATGTGGTTTGCCTTCTGTGTCCGTGAGTGCTGCTCTCTACCTCCCTCCTGAGGTCTTCCCGGGCCCTGAGGAGTCCCTGTTCTAAGATTACCCTGGCATTACCCCCACTGCCCACCTCACAGAGCACCTCTTCTGTCCCGAGTCTTCCCTGAAGACAGTGCTCCCTTTAACCTTTTCCTGTAGACTTTGAGGCACTCATTTCCCCACATCTGTGCTTTGGCACAGGGCAGGCATAGGGAACGTTTTCATTGCTTACCAGTGACACTTCCTTCCCAACTGGCACATAAAGTCTCATTTGCAGCTCCTGTCGTCTGTCTTCCTGCCATCAACTAGCCTTTTCATCGTGCCCTGACAGTCACCAAAGATGGCGGCACCTGCCTCCTTCTCTTTGTCTGCATTCACGCCCTCCACGGTTCTGGCGCCTTCACTGTCCTCACAGAAGACCCTCCCACCGCTTTCTCTGCATGGATGGTGAAGTGTCCCGGGGTCTAGCCTCTGATGCTCTTCTTATTTTCCCTAGGCGCTCTCTCACGCACTCAAGGTTTTGAGGCTTTTCTTAGCATCTGCAGGCTGGTGATTTCCTCTTCTGTATTCCAGCCTTGGCCCTTCTTGCTGAGGTTTGCGTTTGTGTATTTAATTGTTTTCAGCATATCTCCCGTTTGCCCCTCAGACACTTCAGATAAACTTTTCCCTCACCGTCTCTCCCCAGCTCCTTGAAGTATTTTCTCCCTTACATAGCTCACATCTCAGGTGGTGGCATCTTGCCGGTCACCTCAAATAGAACAATACAATTCATTTTTATAGGGACTTTTTTTGTTTTTTAAGACAGGGTCTCACTGTCGCCCAGGCTGGAGTGTAATGGTGGGATCTCGGCTCACTGCAGCCTCAGCCTCTTGGGACCAGGTGACCCTCCTGCCTCTGCTTCCTGGGTAGCTGGGACGACAGGCATGCATCACTACACCCGACTAATTTTTTTTTTTTTTTTGGTATTTTTTGTAGAGACGCGGTTTTGCAATGTTGCTCAGGCTGGTCTCCAACTCCTGGGCTCAAGCGATCTGCCCGCATTAGCCTCCCAAAGTGTTGGGATTACAGATGTGAGGTGCTGTGCCTGACCTATAGGGACATTTCGAACCAGCCTAAGCAGTCATTAAACTTTCAGCTGTTCTTTTAAAAACTTAATGTGTGAAGTTGATAACTCATCCCATTCTTGCACTTCTCCTCAGGACTTCCTTTCCTTGGGTGGGCTTGCTTTGGGGAATTGCAAGTAGGGTGAGAGGAGCAGGGTGTTAGCAGCTGGTCAGCTAAGAAGGAGCCACTGACTGATCTTAGCAGTGTCTACTCATACCTTGAGGATGTACTTTTCTTCTGAATTGCCTTCTCAGATTCAGGTTGTTCTTTAAAACCATGAACGGTCAGGTACCTCTACTTTCAAGAAATCATTTACTTAATGAATTTTAGTATTTTTTCTGTGTGAAAATCTATAAAGAAGATTACAGACTAGCAGCCCCCAAGCCTCAGTTGGCTTCCAGAGAGATTTTTGGGCCCTCTAGTGTTGTCCTATACACTGGCAACTTTTAAAAATCACAAGATTTCATAAAAGACCTGAGCTGCAATACACATGAAGATCAGGTCCTATGAGGCCCTGGCTGGGGCTTTGTGGCGGCTGCTCCTGTAGTTGGGGCCCATGATGGGGTCTGCGTGCGCTCACCTGCCTGTGGCTCCTTGTTTTTCTTACACCCATTTCTGTTTTTATTTTTTTGAGACTGAGTCGTGCTCTGTGGCCCAGGCTGGAGTGCAGTGGCATGATCTCGGCTCCCTGCAACCTCTGCCTCCTCCTTTCAAGCAATTATTCTGCCTCAGCCTCCCGAGTAGCTGGGACTGCAGGAGCACGCCACCACACCTGGCTAATTTTTGTATATTTAGTAGAGATGGGATTTCACTATGTTGGTCAGGCTACTCTTGAATTCCTGACCTCAAGTGATCCATGCATGTGATAGATATTTTTTAAAGGTTGAAATAAAGATGAAACAAAATTTTAAAATAATGTGATCACTAAAGTCTTCAATTTTAGTGAAAGCAGTATGATTGAGTATGTTTTATTATTTTTGAAAATCTTGATACTGTGTGTTACAGCAAGTTAAGTCTGTTTCTAAATTAAACTTTTTTTTCCTTCTTTTCTTTTCTTTTTGAGGTGGAGTCTTCTCACTTCTTTGCCCAGGCTGCAATGCAGTAGTGTGATCTTGGCTCACTGCAACCTCTGCCTCCTGGGTTCAAGCAATTCTTCTGCCTCAGCCTCCCCAGTAGCTGGGATTATAGGCATGTGCCACCACGCCTGGCTAATTTTTGTATTTTTAACAGAGATGGGGTTTCACCCTGTTGGCCAGGCTGGTCTCGAACTCTTGACCTCAAGTGATCCACCCGCCTCAGCCTCCCAAAGTGTTGGGATTATAGGCGTGAGCCACCACACCTGGCCAACATAAATCATTTTTGACAGCAGAACCACATGCTGATGGAAATAACTGAACATTTATTCTGATAATGCTTTCATCATAGTTTTAAAAAAATTATTATTAAAAGGCAGTTATTATTAAAATGTCTCTTCTTTCAAGACATGAGTTATGTTAATACATTCTCATCAGCATACTGAGGACAGTCACTGGCCATTTAAAGGGTCAATAAATTTGAATTACCTTTTTTAAAAAATGTATTATTTTTTATTTTATTTATTCTTACTTTTTTTTTTTTTTTTTTTTTTTGAGACGGAATCTCACTCTGTCATCCAGGCTGGATTGCAGTGGCACAACCATGGCTCAGTGCAGCCTAGAACTCCCAGGCTCAAGTGATCTTCTCACCTCAGCCTCCTAAGTAGCAGGCATTACAGTCACATACCACTACATCTGGCTATTTTTTTTATTTTTCGTAGCTATGAGGTCTTCTCCTTATGTTGCCCAGGTTGGCCTTGAACTCTTGGGCTCAAGCATTTCACCCACCTTGGCCTCCCAGACAAAGTGTTGGGATTACAGGCATGAGCCACCATGCCCAGCCTGGATCACTTTTTTGTTTAAAAGAAAAAAAAAAAAGTACAATTCATTTTTTAAGTTCACCAACTCTTAAGTACTTTGCTGTTTAAGTTAGTTTATCTTAAACGAGCACATTTGTTCTGTGTTACAAAAAAATTTTATTATTTCACTAAATAGATTATATTGTAGGTAATGAAATATGTTAATCAGTTAATCAGTTTAGCTGGGCACTTCACCTATTCATTTGTTCATTACAGCAAATTGCGACATATAGCAGTTAACATGTGCCCTGTCTTGTAGTAGTTGCTGATTTCTGTGGTATGAATAAATATTCTTACCTTGGCTGATTTGAAGTTATCAACATGAGTCACTGAACATGGATTTGGGAAGAGATACACAGTTGTACACCATTACATAGTAATTTCAACATAAACAGTAGATATAGGTAACCTCAAGTTAATAGTAAAATACAAAGTTAGGAAGTAATGAGTTGAAGGTATTTATTGCATAGATTTTTAATATAATTATTTAATTTGAAGTTGATGTAATTACATCTTTAATGGCTATGTTTAACAACAAGCTCACAACATTCTGAAAATGTAGTGGTCTGCATTCATGAGCAGGTGTGAGTGGCTCCAACACGCCCCTCTGTGGGCCTTGTAGGACAGTCTGAGAACTTTGCCTTTTACTCCGAGTGAGATGGGAAGTGTTGGAGGCTTTGGAGCGAAGGGGTGACATGTTCAGTTGGCTTGAGTGTTAACACAGTCACCTGCTATGCTGGGACTAGCACATAGGGAAGAATATGGCAGCAGGGAGAATATTTAGGAGCTGATGTGGAGAATCCAGACAAGAGATGAAGGTGGCTGGGAGCAGGGGGTAGCCAGGGCCGATAGCGAGTAGTGACCAGACTCAAGAATCTGTACAGGAGGCAGCGAGGGATCGTGTGTTTCATGGTTCTGTGATTTATTGAGATCTGAGAAAATAACCAGGCTTTTTTCCCCTCACTTATCTTTTTTTTTTTTTTTTTTTTTTTTCCTTTTTTGAGATAAAATAGTGTTCAACTGAATCAGCATCTGACCTAGTTTGACAAATCTTTATACTGATTTCAAAATTGCTGTGGTACCAAGAAGATGATATGACATTGTTACTAAAGGGGGTGATGATGGCAATTTGAATGGGATAATTCCTCACTGCAGAAGATCCACACGACAGAATGTCTCGAATCCCCGGCCCCAGCCCTGAGTGCCAGTAATACCTCCTAGTTACTGCTACACCCAAACAACCCCTCCATCCACGCATATTTTGTCTGAAAGCCAACAACCTGTGTCTTCTAACAGAGCATGTGGTTCTTTTTCTTCCTCTGACAGTATTATGCCTACCTGTATTCTTATGTGATGCCCCAGGCCATCCGGGACATGGTGGATGAATACATCAACTGTGAGGACATCGCCATGAACTTCCTTGTCTCCCACATCACTCGGAAGCCCCCCATCAAGGTGAGGTCCCGTCACTGGTGGGACTGTGGATGCGCGCATGTTTACTTCACTTGTTTTACAGTAGCGCAGCACATAACTGCACTGTACCTCAGAGTCCTCATTCATACGATAGGGATGATACTACCTACCTCATCAAAGGATTATGGGCTTAAATGAGTTGTTACGACAGGGGCCCTTCATTCCTAAGGGCAATGGATAGAAATAAGAAGGTTTGGAACTTGGGTGGGAAAGATGTTGCATCATAATTTTTATTAATCTTTTACTGGAATTTAGCATTTTCTTCAATTATGAAACAGGCTACAATTCACAACAGTATTTGTAGTAACTGATTTGTCACCAGTAGAAATCATAGATATCTTTGTATTACATTACCTTTGTTGGAATATCTGCAAAAAGTATTATTTGTGTTTGTTACCACTTTGAATTCACGGCAGTTATTCCCTTTCCCCTAGATGTTGTTATTTAATGCATTAGGAAAACAGCATGTGTGTCACTGTGTTTTACTGAAACTTGCTTCCTTTGTCATCCTGTGTATTGCAGTTTATATATCTAAAAATACTATTTTGAGGAGTCCACAGCCTTGACCAGATTGCCAAGCCAGAGGCACAGGCGATGTCCATCAAATAAAAAACTTAAGAATTTCTGAGTTAATGTATGTAAGACTCTAAGAATAGTGTTGGCACATAAGTACTATGTAAATTATTTGCTCACAACCAAAAATACCCTCAGAATTTCTAGAATTCCTCTGACAGTATTATGCCTACCTGTATTATTATGTGATGCCCCAGGCCATCCGGGACATGGTGGATGAATACATCAACTGTGAGGACTACTCACACCTGTGAATTCTAGAAATTCTGGGGGTATTGTTCTGTTTTTTCTTGGAGTTATTAACAAATACACTCAGTGCACGGAAAGCCTGGTTCCACCCCCTTCCTGTCATCGTTGAGGGCTCTGTCAGCAAGTTAGAGCATGCTGGTAAGGGTTAGGATAGCTCGATAGCTCAGTCCTTAGAGAAGCAGATGTTATTAGAACCAGTATTACTGTGGAGTCTGTCACTTCAAATGAATATTTGTGACTGTGCTTATGTCTGTGTTTATGTCTGTGTTTATGTCTGTTTCGTAATTGAAGAAAATACTAAATTCCAGTAAGAGATTTGTACCTGATGTCTTTAGAAGGGTCAACAAACTAATGAGCTCATATTTTCATTATTATCAAAAAGGTGTATTACTTAATTTTATGAAATAAGTTTACTTTCATGGGTGTCATTGCCATGAGTAAATAGTCGTGTTCAGCCTGGCGCGGTGGCTCATGCCTGTAATCCCAGCACTTTTGGAGACCGTGGCGGGCGGATCGCTTGAGGTCACGAGTTCGTGACCAGCCTGGTCAACACGGCGAAACCCGGACTCTACTAAAAAATATACAAATTAGGCCGGGCGCAGTGGCTCACGCCTATAATCCTAGCATTTTGGGAGGCTGAGGCAGGTGGATCACGAGGTCAGGAGATCAAGACCATCCTGGGTAACACGGTGAAACCCTGTCTCCATTAAAAATACAAAAAATTAGCTGAATGTGGTGGCATGCACCTATAGTCTCAGCTACTCAGGGGGCCGAGGCAGGAGAATCACTTGAACCTGGGAGGCAGAGGTTGCAGTGAGCCGAGATCATGCCACCACACTCCAGCCTGGGTGACAGAGCGAGACTCAGTCTCAAAAAGAAAACACACACACACGCACACACGCTACACTACACTAGCTAGGCGTGATGGCATGCGCCTGTGATCCCAGCTACTCAGAAGGCTGAGGCAGGAGAATCGCTTGAATCCAGGAGGCAGAGATGGCAGTGAGCTGAGATCGTGCCACTACACTGCAGCCTGGGTTACTGAGTGAGACTCCATCTCAAAAAAAAATTAATAATCGGTTCTAGACTAAGTACCCATCAGCATATACTAATAACGATAATGAAATCATATGTTTAGAAGCCAGGTGCAGTGGCACACACCTAGTAGTCTCAGCTACTCAGGAGGCTGAGGCAGGAGGATTGCTTGAATCCAGAAGTTCTAGGCTGAATGTTCCATGGGCGTGTCTGTGAACAGCCACTGCACTGCAGCCTGGGCATCTTAGTGAGAAATAAGTCGTAGCTTGAGTGCTAAGCAGAGTGGCCACCAGAGGACGCTGGTTCCATGCAGCAAAGCATAACAAAGATAGAAATGTTATTTGGAGGCTAACTGTGGCTCCTGGGTAGAACGTCACTCCTGATTGTCCCAGGGTTTCTTCTGTCCGAGACTTTTGCTAAAGTCTCACAAGAGAAGAATAATTAGCAAAATAATGTATCATTTTTTTAACTGTGAAAAATAATAGTCACAAGTATTTATATAAAAATAGTATGTTTTCCAGGTACAGTGGTAGGTCTCATATTAAACAGTGAAAAGACTTTGTAGACTTTGAGGTAGGGAGGCAAAGGTTTTAGAAAGCAATTAACAATGGGTGCAATCACGTATGTTTATTGCAGCACTATTCACAATAGCAAAGACTTGGAATCAACCCAAATGTCCATCAGTGACAGATTGGATTAAGAAAATGTGGCACATATACACCATGGAATACTATGCAGCCATAAAAAAGGATGAGTTTGTGTCCTTTGTAGGGACATGGATGCAGCTGGAAACCATCATTCTTAGCAAACTATCACAAGAACAGAAAACCAAACACCGCATGTTCTCACTCGTAGGTGGGAACTGAACAATGAGATCACTTGGACTCGGGAAGGGGAACATCACACACCGGGGCCTGTCATGGGGAGGGGGGAGGGGGGAGGGATTGCATTGGGAGTTATACCTGATGTAAATGACGAGTTGATGGGTGCAGCACACCAACATGGCACAAGTATACATATGTAACAAACCTGCACGTTATGCACATGTACCCTACAACTTAAAGTATAATAATAATAACAGACACCAACATGGCACAAGCATACATAATAAACGCACATTATGCACATGTACTCCTATAACTTAAAGTATAACACAAAAAAAAAAAAAAAAAAAAAAAGGTGCAATTTTCTTTTCCTTATGTTTCCTTTCTTATGTAGCCAGGGACTGGATTTGAGTCAAGATGTGTGCATCAATTTATGCCTCTCTAGTAGACCAGAAGACATGGTCCATGAAAATTTAAAGTATCTGAGTGATTAAGTATCTAATAATAGCATCTGTTACCTGAGCAGGCACAGACATGGGGGATTTTTCATCTTTGTAACGTGTGTTTGTCTACTGCATTATTAGGCCAGTGTTTCATTAGCTAAGCCATCTCTTCAGTGCAGGGGGAAGTAATGTGGACATGGTGCACATGATTCTTACCAATTGAAAACTTCAAAACTGAGTATTCTCTCTGAATTTTCTTCATCTTTCTGGAATATATGAAGAATTCAAGATTGGGATGAGTTTTCAAATTCAAAGGCTGAAATTAAGTGTGTTTTCAAACTCAGTAATTCCTTCAACTTATGAATCTAATTCATAATAAAGAACCAGTTTGAATTAAATATTTTATTTACCTAATTTTAATGGTATCAGGTGTATATACTATTGTATGTCCAAAAATAGTAATTTTTTTTGTTGTGCTTTAAATACCTCCAATTTTTTCTGTCAAACTATTCCCTGTTTGAATTAGGGAGGTCTGACTGCTTTGTATGATTGACAGTGTTCTTTCAGTAATGTTAATATCTTAATGATATTGACTAAAGAATGGGGAGTTAATGTGATATTATTGCTTTGAATAATGTACTACTTTTGCAAGGAGAACACATAATGTAAATAGGCTTCATTCAGGATAAGAGATTAAAAAACCCCTGTAAAGTTTTGAGAAAACAGATGGCTTAGGTGGTAAGGAAGCCGAAATGCAAGTGAACGTTTTGGTTCTCTGGGGGTAATATAGGTTCTTGGCATCTATTGAGGATTTTCCTCATTGTTACTAAGCATAAAACGAATATTTCTCTTAGACTGAGTTACCTGGAATCTTCCATGTAAACTGTGATTCACGATATTGGTTAAGTAAGTAAATGTCCAAACTTCAGTTTATATTATAGTTGTTTCATTCTTTATAATTTTTTTGCATGTTTTATTATGCAACACAGTTATATATTTACAAATATATTGGGGATGCAGTCTTAAATGGTTTTTTTGTTTTGTTTTTGTTTTGTTTTTTTTTTGAGATGGAGTCTTGCTGTTTTGCCAGGCTGGAGTGCAGTGGCGCAATCTCCGCTCACTGCAACCTCTGCCTCCCGGGTTCAAGCGATTTTCCTGCCTTAGCCCCCTGAGTAACTGGGACTACAGGCATGTGCCACCATGCCCAGCTAATTTTTGTATTTTTAGTAGAGACGGGATTTCACCATGTTGGTCAGGCTGGTCTCGATCTCTTGACCTTGTGATCCGCCCGCCTCGGCCTCCCAAAGTGCTGGGATTACAGGTGTGAGCCACCGTACCCGGCTTAAAAGTTTTTTTACTGATGGATTACATGATTAAAAACATTTGGAAATCACTGCTTCTGTGAAAACAACAGTTATAAAGACACTTTTTGTGTCACGTGGAATAATATGCAGGCTAAAGGGCATTTCTCCTGGGGCTGGATTCTGGTGTCTGGCGTGAGGAGAAGGGTTTTTAGATCCAGTGAGAGCCCCATGGAATACTGGACATAGATGCTGTTTGAGAACGTCCTTCCCCAGATTCCTGACCCCCACATCCTGTTCCGGGGGGAACCATGGGAAGAGCAGTAACTCGGTGTTGACATGACCCCGAAGAGTTCTAAGGGAGCAGCCAGTGAGTGAGGGGGAAAGTGAGGAGACAGGTGGGACCTGGAGGGGGAGCTGTGGAGGGGTCATGACTGCCCAGAGACTAGGTTCTGAGGTGAGCCACCCTTCGAGCACTGGCCTGTGTCTCCTCCCAGTTTAAACGCTGGGACCTGGGCTTTGACGGCGAATACTGGTCGTACACAATGATTACTCTTCTGCTATTAGGTTATGGGATGTGTCTTTCAATTAAAAATTTTCCCCTTAATTTATAATAGAAATTTAAAAATTATTTGGGAAAAGAGACATGCAGAAAGAAATCAAAAGTGCTAAGAATTTTGGCTTCTTTTGGTTCTCTGGTATCCTGTCTATTGTGGTGACTTATTTATCCATACATATATACACACACGTGTGTAAAAATACATATGTACATATTTTTTCTTTTTTTTTTTTTTTTTTGAGATGGAGTCTCGCTCTGTCACCCAGGCTGCAGTGCAGTGGCATGACCTCAGCTCACTGCAACCTCTGCCTCCCAGGTTCAAGTGATTTTCCTGCTTTAGCCTCCATAGTAGCTGGGATTACAGGCATGTGCCACCATGCCCAGCTAATTTTTTTGTATTTTTAGTAGAAACGGGGTCTCGCCATGTTGGCCAGGCTGGTCTCAAACTGAGCTCAAGTGATCCGCCCACCTTGGCCTCCCAAAGTGCTGGGATTGCAGGTGGGAACCACCACACCTGGCTTTATTTTTGTATTTTAAATTTATATACTTGATTTGCAGTCTGCTTTTTAAAGACTTGACAGTAGGATGGGCAGTATGGCTCACACCTGTAATCCCAATATGGAGGCTGAGGCGGGCGGATCATGAGGTCAGGAGATCGAGACCATCCTGGCTAACACAGCGAAACCCTGTCTCTACTAAAAATACAAAAAATTAGCCGGGCGTGGTGGCAGGCGCCTGTAGTCCCAGCTACTCGGGAGGCTGGGAGGCTGAGGCAGGAGAATGGCGTGAATCTGAGAGGCGGAGCTTGTAGTCAACTGAGATCACCGCACTGCACTCCAGCCTGGGCTACAGAGCGAGACTCCGTCTAAAAAAAAAAAAAAAAAAACCCAAAAAAACTTTACAGTAAATTTTCTCGGTTTTTGTTATATAGTGGACTAGGTAATTTGAAAACCTGATCACTATAAGTAACAAACTTCTTTTTTCAGTGTATAGTTGAGCTAATAAAAAGGTAAGAGAATTGCCAGAAAGGAAGCAGACGGGAGGACTAAAACTTAGGGTGGCAAGCATGGGGGCGTCGCTGAGACCATCATGGGGAGCTGTTCTCACCTCAGCTGTCTAGAGGCTTGGGTTTTATCACTCATGTGAAGGAGTGAAGAGCCTGTTAAGGGCGGAGAATTAGAATGGAGATCTCCTACCTGTTGCCCCGGGGAGATGACATGCACCTTGTTTATTTTAACCTGGACTCTGAGGGGGCGGAGGGGCGCGAAGTGTAGGTTGAGAACGTTGAATAGTCTTTTGAGCCTCCATGGGCTTAGGTACTCATTCTGTATGAAATCTAGACCCAGGGCCACATGAGGTGGCTCAAGTCTGTAATTCCAGCATATTGAGAGGCTGAGGCAGGAGGATTTCTTGAGGCCAGGAGTTCCAGACCAGCCTGGGCAATGTAGGGAGTCCCCAGGGAGAAAATAAAAAAAGAAAACTAGACCCAGTCATTGATACCCTTGGACTGTTTGACAGAATAAAACCAAAAATCTGTTATAAGGAGAAATTACTCTCAGCAGAGGAAGTTCCCACTTCAGAAAAAGAAATTTCTTCACCTCAGGCCACATAGGACATGCACAGGAAAAGCCTCATTGAAGATGAGCTTGAAATGTAAAATTACCAGTTAGCCACCAAGGAAACAGCTGATCATGAGCAAGAGCGAACACACATAATAAACAGGTTATAGTTCTCCAAGGATTTCAAGTAATAAAGCCATTAGGTAGACTCTAAAACAAGTAGGCTTAAAATGACTAACCTGAAAACATAAAAAAGCAACAGATCACTCCAAAAAGAACAGATTGGAAAGCCCTAAATGGAACTACTGAAAATGAAAATCCTAGTTATTAAAATCTCTGTCAAAAAGGCATGAAAAGATCAGACTTAGGTGAAAAGAAAATTAAGGAAGTAGAAGATAAATTTAAAGACATTTCTGCCCCATGTTTCTTTGTGTGGCATCCTCCCCTCCCTGCTCCCCTCCATCCTCCCTTCCGTGGAGCCAGTGTTTCCAAAGCCCGCTTTGCAGGTGTTGCTGCTTCAGCCCATTGAAAACCCAAGTTCATGGCTATCTTGCAGGATTTGCTTTTTCATTGGCCTCAGGATTTCGTTCATTCTTTCATTCATTCATTCATCCATTCTTCATTGTTTATTCATGCATGCATGTATGTATGTGAGTGAGTGACAGGCTCTCACTGTCCCCCAGACTGGAGTGCAGTGGTACCATCATAGCTCACTGCAGCCTCAAACTCCTGGGCTCAAGCAGCCTCCCAGGTAGCTGGGACTACACCAAATAACTGGCCTGCTGCCACACCCTGCTAATATTTTTATCTTTTGTGGAGATGAGGTTTTGCTTTGTTGCCCAGGCTGGTTTTGAACTCCTGGGCTCAAGCAATCTTCCTGCCTTGGCCTCCCAAAGTGCTGGGATTAATCACCAGGTGATTTCATTTCTTATTACAGGCTCAGCCCTGTATTTAAAGAGGGTTTCTGTATTTCATCTTGCGTGTTCAGGTGTTCTGAGGGACTTTTATGCCATTCGGCCTGCCACATTGTAATGAAGCTGTCCCTCTTCACACTTTTCTGGTTAGACATTTTCTAATTAATAACAATATGACTAGACTGTAATATGGCCACTTTCCCATGGCTTTAAATGTAGTTAAGCATCTTTTTTATGGACAGTATTCAAGAATGATTTGACTAGCCCCTCTTTGGGTAGTCTTCAGTATTTTGATTCAAAACATTGATGAAACAAACAACTCAGTACCTAACTATGGCTCTGCAACCAAGTACATACTAGGAGTGGACTTACTGAGACAGCTGACACTACACACGTTAAGGCTTGTGGCATCTGAGAAGTGCAGGCCGTCTAGACAGAATACCTGACGATGTTCTGGAGACATCTGGTAGGCAGGAGGCCTGGGGCGGGGCTCTGGCTCCTGCCACACTCTGCAGGGTTGTTGCCTCTGGGGGATCAGCGTCTTCACCCTGGACATGGGGGTTGTGGGATCGGTTCAGCTGCAAGGGTTCTGTTGGTATTAGCTGGGATTCCCACTCTGTGTCTCTCTTCCATTTCCAGGTGACCTCACGGTGGACGTTCCGATGCCCAGGATGCCCTCAGGCCCTGTCGCACGATGACTCCCACTTCCACGAGCGGCACAAGTGCATCAACTTCTTTGTGAAGGTGTACGGCTACATGCCCCTCCTGTACACGCAGTTCAGGGTGGACTCCGTGCTCTTCAAGACACGCCTGCCTCATGACAAGACCAAGTGCTTCAAGTTCATCTAGGGGCAGCGCAAGGTCTGGGGAAGAGGATGGGCAGAGGGAGGAAGATGGCTCCCAAGGTTCCTAGGCATTGCAGGACCTTGGGGACATCTGCTGGGTGGGTGGCCCAGACCCTCTGCTGGGAGGGGCAGCATGAAGAGTGGAAGGAAACCGCTGCCTTTATCTTGAAGTCGGCCACACTGGGCCTGGAGCCCTGGGCGGAGGCCCCGGGGTTCCCCACACAGGGCACTGACTGATAGCTTACACTGAGGACCGTGGAGACTCTGCAGAGTCACTCACACCATTCATACGCCCAGGACAGCTAGTTTGTGGTTTTTAAATTCAGTAACAACTATTATGATTATTTAAAAAGAGAAAGTTTCAGATTTGCCATTCACGGCTTATTTATATATATGTGTGTGTATATAAATATATGCACACACACTCGCATACATATATATTTTTGGCTGGGGGAGTGTGAGTTTTGCCTCTCTAAGGGAGGGACCGCGCAGACTCCTTTGTTCTGTATTCTGGCACAGATGGGTCCTGGCCTTGTGTCACTGGCTTATACTTAAAGATCATCTCCCATCCTCCCCAGCGCCATCTGTGTGCAGAAACCAGAAAGGGATGAACTTGGCCCTCTTACGGGCCTGGACGAGATAAGACCTGTGGGTCTCTTCCATACCCTTTCTGTTGCCAGTCGGCAACCTGTAACTCCCATTCTCTTCCCAGTGAATCCCTGGGAGCGCCTGACCCTGGTGGGCTGCTCAGCTTCCTGCTGCTGGGGCCAGTGATTTTTGAGGATTTATCTTTGGGCCAGGCTTGCCTCAGTACTTATCCCTGCTCTCCCATTTCTCCCTTGTTTGAGAGAGAATGAGGAAGCAAAGAGTGAGAAAGAATAGGGCCTGAAGATGCTACTCCCAGATGGCTCTTTCTGTCTTGTTCTTTTGTTGAAACATACGTGCTGTGGGCCTCAGGCTTTTCTGAAGTGCTGTCTCTTGGATTGGACAGGAAATCAGCAGGGTGCACGTCTGCTGTGGTCTGAAGTGGTTTGCAGGTCAGCCTCCTCTCCCTGGTGTAGAGCAAGCCAGTGTCCTTCGAGGACCCCACCCGGCTGGCCGGGAAGTTTTACAGCAAGGCGCCTGCCTTGGGATAATTCCTTGGTGAAATTCACCTTCCCCCTGCCTCTGTCTGGAGCCCCATCCTGTGTTATCTGTGGTTTTTGGACCCCTAATGTCAGCTTGGCTGTAGGACCCCCTGAGGTTTGGTATGTGCTAGAACAATGGGAGGCCGTGATTTGCTGTGTAAGCTCACATCCAGCCTTCGAATCTTAACAGGCATTCACAGCCCGAGTTACCCCTTTCCACTCCCTGCTTAGGATTCTGTTCCCTGGGCTGAAAGTGAAATAAGCTAATTTTTTGGGTCGTAGTGGCAGTAGGGGAACCTAGGAGGGTGTGAGTGGAATTGGTCAGGGATTTAGCCCATGAAATCTGTTTCTTGAACCCTACTTTCTTGAAGTGGAGTTGACTCGAAGGTTTCTAGCAACTGAACAAAAGCTCAGGTCTGTCCTGGTCATGCACATGCCTTAAGCCAGTTCCGTCTTCCCTAGACCTTGGCATCCTGTGCTTCTACTTCTCGGAATACGTTCTCCTCTGACCTGCCTGTACCACACGGGTCTTCTTCAAGTATTGTTTTGAAGCTGGGCTCTTTTGGTAGCTCCCACCCACCTGTAGGGCTAGCTCGGCTTAAGGGAACGCTCCCCATTGGCAAACCGGACCTGGCTACTGCCAGGACTGTGTTTCCAGAGGTTCCCCCTGGCAACAGCCCGTAGCTCCCCCCGCTGAGGCAGCGACCTAGGAAGTGTGGTTTTGTTCCCAGCAGTCGGGGGTCGGATGCTCTGCCTCAGAACTTTCTAGTTGCGCCCTCCCTGACTCTTGACTTGTATTCCTTTTAGCAGTAGCCTTCTTCCCTCGGGGAGCCAAAGAGTGTGGTGTGTGGCGCTATATTGTGGCTGCTATTTTATCTGGTTTATTTTAATGTGAGGAACTCATATACTGACTTTAGTGGGACTCGGTGAGCCGGGGCCGTCTGTGTGGTGGGACCCCCTTTAGAGGGACTTGGTGAGCAAAGGTCGTCTGCATGGTGGGGTCAGGGGCCTGTCCCTTTAGTAGAGCCAGGTTGTCGGGCCCCGAACGTCACTGGTGGATCCAAGAAGGGCTGAGTGGTCTGACACCAAAACGTGCCGCACGGAGGGCTGTGGTGCCGGTGCTTCCAGCAAGGACAGCCCTCCTTGACCCTGAAAGGAACACTGGCTTGAAGGACTGCAGACAGGTTCGGAGGGGCACGCCCTCCTCGGCGAGAGGCAGCAAGGCGGTCGCGGTGTCACTGGTCAGGTGCATCTCACCATGGCAAAGCCGCTGACCTGTGACTCATGCAAGACGGGAAAGTAGCACCACAGACGCCGGGTCTCCTTGGCTGTCTGTGAGCCGCCCGTGGCCCCCTCGTCCTGGCCCGCAGGGTGCAGGACCTTCCTCGTTCTCTGGGTGGCCGGCTTGCTGCTCCGGTTTGGGCTGTCCTACTTTAATGCCATCCCAGGGCTCCGCAGGCCGCTGTGAGCGCTGGCTCCCTGGGCAGTGCTCCTCCGTGTGGACGGTGCCTCGGGCCAGGGCTCACCAGCTGGGGTCCTGTCCAGAAGGATGGGATCTTTCTGGGAGCTGCGCCGGACCGAGTGGGGAGCTCCTAGTTTGGAGGGGGGAAGCTTTGATATCCATGCCACGTCCATCCACCCCACCCCTTTTCGTCACGAGCACAATGGTCTTACATTGGATTTTTGTAAAAAAAAGATAAAAATAAATGGAGACTTTAACTCAAGCAGCTTGGAGTTCTTTTGTGGTTTTCCTCAGCAGGTATGGAAGAGTGACCTGAGAGAAGGCACCTGCTTGATTGCTTGATTCCAGGTCGCCACCTGCGTACGCCAGCTGGGCCCGCTCGCAGAAGAAGACAGGAGGCAGCGTGACCAGGCCCTGGTGTGGGCTGTGGACCAGAGATGGGTGAACAGACTCACATTCATGCGGGCAGCCTTGCCTGCGCCCGGTTCCAGGGCAAGTCATTTTGACTAAACAGGAACTTAGGGGCTATTGAGGTGCTTTAAGCAGGATGTGGAAGGGCATGTGGCCCATATATGCAAAGTTAATTTTTTCACGGGAATTTAAAAGCGTGTGTGTATATGGAGTGGTTGTGGGGAGCTGTGTGTGCCTATGATCCCAGGAGGCGAGGCCTCACTGTGAATGGCTCAGTTTGGTCCATAGGTCATGCCCCTGACCTACAGGGCACTAAGACACCTGTACCTGCACCGAGCTGGCGCTCCCTGACTGCACAGCCCCTTCCTGTTGGTGCCCACAGGCCTAGAACTTGTGCTTGGCTGTGGGATCAGAGGCTTCCTCAGGAGAGGGCACTGAGCTGTGGGCTTCGGGGAGAAGGATGGAGAAGGGAAAGGGGGTAAAGGCGAGGGCTCCTCTCCTGGGCTCTGCAGGTGGCATTTTCGGTCACACTGACAGTCCTAAGAATGGGTGAGACCTAACGGTCAGTGTCCCTCCTCAAGTGGGGTTCACGACTGATCAGGCAGGTTTGCAGCAGCTGGTGGGTGAGATGTCATCTAGGGGCATTCCTCTTTGGGTCTGGAGTTTTGGCTGTCAAGCTCCTATTCTTCCAGCCATCCGTCTCCATGTTACGATTGTTCTGGGACCGGAGAGACTTGAGAAGGTAGCATGAGGCTGTAGAAAATGCATCTTCCTATATACACAGAGATACGATGTCTGCTTTGAGTCTCTACCTGTCGAGTTGTGGCTTGGACTTATGGTCACCCAAGGTGGTGAATGTGAGCTGGACTTATGGTCACCCAAGGTGGTGACTGTGAGCTGGACTTATGGTCACCCAAGGTGGTGAATGTGAGCTGTTGATGGGATCGTCACTGAAGTGGAAGGCTCCACAAGGTTTACAAAAATGTGTGAAGAAGAATGTTGATGGCGGGGTGTGGTGCCTAACGTCTTAATCTCAGCATTTGGGGAGGCAGAAGTGGGAGGATCACCTGAGGCCAGTTCAAGACCAGTCTGGGCAACATAGCAAGACCCCTATCTCTACAAAAAAAATTAAAAATAGAATGTTATGAAGATACCGACAAGAAGAAAGGAGAACGTAGCGGGTCAAGGTCTGGATCCTAGAACAGCCTGGGTGCAGATCCTGGGCTGCCCATCACACTGGTGGAGAGCAAGTGATCTCTTCATATTTTAGGCTCTCATCCCACCAGACGATGGCAAAAGTTGCGCCCATCTCCTAAGCATATGTTAAAAGTTAAATAACATAATATGTGTAGAGTCCACTGTTTGACACAATAAAAATGAACTATTACTGGAGTAAAATACTGTCCACTTATTCATGGCTGTTTCTGCCTTCCACTAGGTTTGAGCACCAGCGCCTGGCTGTGTGCCCTGCCCACCTCCTATTAGAGCCCCCATGCTCTGTCGCCTCACCATGCTGTGTGCTGGCCACTGCTCTGCCTCCCACACCGGACTGCAGCCTCTTGAGAACACGGCACACAACAGGAGTTCCATAGTTTTCTCATGAATTGAATGCTTTGACAGACTGAAGAGGGCCACTTAGAAATCACAGCTTAGGCAAACTGTTTTACCTTTCTTCATCTGTCTTCATGTTTATGAAAGAGTACAGGCTGGGCATAGTGGCTCACGCCTGTAATCCCAGCACTTGGGGAGGCCAAGGCGGGTGGATCACCTGAGGTCAGGAGTTGGAGACCAGCCTGGCCAAAATGGCGAAACCCCATCTCTACTAAAAATACAAAAATTAGCCAGGGGTGGGGGCACGTGCCTGTAGTCCCAGCTACTCAGGAGGCTGAGGCAGGAGAATTGCTTGAACCTGGGAGGTGGGGGTTGCAGCGAGCTGAGATTGCGCCATTGCACTCCAGCCTGGGCAACAAGAAACTGCGTCTCATAAAAATAAGAAATAAAGTAAAGTACAACTGCTGGTCCTGTTGTAGGACTGTCATGTTAGCATTTAAACGACTTAAATTCTATTGATTTAAACGATTGGTCCCACATTTCAAACATACAGCAATGTTGAAATCATTTCTGGGGTAGAAATGTATATGTCTGTCATTTTACTGGACCTGCCTTGGAGCGTCCTATCTTCCCATGCCCTGTCCCTTCATCCATTCCTTCATTCATCCTTTCACGGTGCACTGGGTGCATTTCTGAGTAAACTGGTAACATCGATGCATTTCCTTCGTGGGCATACAACTGTTAATTATAGGGCAGTATTTGTGTTTTTAATGTGAAATTTATTTTAAACTTACACACATCTTAAGTGTGCACTCTTTTGAGTTCTGACAAACGCACATGCCTGTGTAACCCAGACCTCTCTCGATACGGAACACTACCATCAACCCAGAAAGTCCCCTCATGCTCCTTCCTCCTAGTCAGTCCCCACATCCTCCATCCCCAGACATAGCCGATGCTGATCGTTTTTTCACTTTGGATTAGTTTTCCATATTCTAGAATTTCATATAAATGGTGTCCTACAATTTCTACTGTTGTGTTTGTCTTCTACACACCCAGCATAACATTTTGGAGAGGCATCCATCATTGCTGCATAGATGGGTGATTAGTTACTTTTCATTGCTTAGTATTCCCTTGTATGAATCGAATACAATCTGTCCATTCTATTGTATAGGTGCTGGGGCTGTTTCCAGTTTTTGGATATTACGAATAAAGTTTCTCTGAACATTCATGTGCAAGGCTTTCTGTGGATTTTTATTTCTCTTGGGTAAATAGGAGTGGAACTGTTGGGTAATATGAGAGATGTATACATGTTTAGTTTTATAAGAAACTTCTAGACCTTTTCTCAATGCAATCATTCCATTTTGTACTAACACCAGTAATTATGAGACTCCCAGTTCCACATCCTCACCAATCTGTGGACTTGTCAGTCTTTTTAATTTTAGCCATTCTGATGAGTAATGGTGTCTTACCGTTTCATTCTGCATTTTCCCGATGACTAATGATTTAAGTACCTTTTCATGTGTTTATGCCGTTTATATATATTTCCTTTAATGAATTATCTGTACACATCTTTTGCCCATTAAGAAAAACTGGATTGTCCTTTTTTGAATTGCTTTCTTTTCTTCCTACATTTTTAATAGATTTTGAGGGGAGCAGTTTCAGATTTACAGCAAAACTGCATGGGAAGTACAGAGTTTTCCTCTTCTTCCACCTCACCCCTCACTTGCCCTTTATTAACATCTGCCATTAGTGTGATAGATTTGATACAATTGATGAGCCAGTGTTGACAGATTATTCACTCAAGCCCATGGTTTACATTAGGCTTCATTCATTGTGTTGTATATTCCGTGGGTTTTGACAAATACGTAATGACAAATATCCACCATTATAGTATCATACAGAACAGTCTCACTCCCCTAAAAACTTCTGTGCTCCACCTATTGGTCCCTCCCCCCTCTCTGAATCTCTGGCAACCACTGATCTTTTTACTGTTTTCACACTATGGCCTTTTCCAGAATGTCACATAAAATCATACAGCATGTAGCCTTTTCACATTGGCTGCTTTCATGTAATATAATATGCACTTAAGGTTCTTTTGTATCTTTTCAGTTTGATAACCAATTCTTTTCTCACTGAATAACATTGTATGGATGTATCTTTTTTATTGCTGAGTTACAGGAATTCTTTGCCCTGGACACTCGTCCATTGTCAGATATGTTTTGTAAATTATTTTTTTAATTTGTGGCTTGCCTAATCGTTTTCTTTATGGTGTCCTCTGATTAGCAGAAGTTTTTAATTTTGAGGAGATACAATTCTCTTGTTACTGCTTTCAGTGACCCAAGAAACCTGTGCCTACCCAACATCATGAAGATATTTTCAGTGTTTTTCACCAAATGCTGTATGGTATTAGCTCTTATAATTAAAGATCCATTTCAGTTTTTATGTATGGTGTGTGACAGTGGTCAGGTTTCTCATTCTTTTTCTATATGGGCATTGCAGCACCATTTGTTAAAAAGACTTTCCCTTCCCCATTGGATTGCTTTAGGGCCTTTGTTGAAAAGGTGGTCATTATAGAAGTGGGGCTCTATTCCTGAGCAATCTTTGTTGTTATGCTGCTTGGTTCATCCTCGTGCCAGTTCCATACTGTCTTGATGAATGTAGCTTTCCAACTTTGTTCATCTCCAAGATTGCTTTCAATATTATAGTTACTTTTTATTTCTCTGTCAAGTTTAGAATTAGCTCTATGGTATTAGCTCTTATGCTTATATAAAATCCATCTCAATATTGCCAGTATCTTTTAAGAAACCTGGGATATCAGATACAAAAATGTAAACATGAAATTTGCCACGTTAGCCATTTTAAAGTGTACCATTTAGTTCCATTAAGTACATTCACAGTGTTGTGTAATCATCACCACTAGCTAGTTTTAAAACTTTTTCATCTCAATTTCTGTACTCATTAAACCAGTAACTTCCCATTCCCCCACTACTTCCAGCCTCTGATAACCTCTGTTCTGTCTCTATGGATTCATCTATTCTGGATATTTGAATATCAATGAATCATAAAATATGTGGTCTTTTTTGTCTGACTTTTTTCACTTAGCATGTTTTCAAGGTTTACCCATTGCAGCATGTATCAGAATCTCATTCTTTTCTGTGGGTGGATAATATTTCATTGTATGTATATTACACATTTTGTTTATCTGTTCATCTCTTGGTGGATACTTGGGTTGCATCCACCTTTTGGTTACTCAGGTGGGGAATAATATTGCTAAGAACATAGGTGGTCAAATATTTGAGT